TCAGGGTGGCTTTCGTGGCAATGCACTTCAAGCAGCTGCAAGTCGGGGAAACGAATCGGTTGTGCGGCTTCTCCTCGAGCGTGGAGCAGAGGTGAATGCTCAGGGTGGCTTTCATGGCAATGCACTAAAAGCAGCTAAAGTCTCGCGTCATGAATCGATTGCGCAGCTTCTCCTCTCACACGGGGCGGATCAAAGTCTATAATTCCGCCAGCATGACCCTCGCAGCACACCAGCCTGGACTTGTTTGACTACTCGAATATTCTATTCCTAAGCCGCCAGCAATGATGGAAGCTTTCCCTCTCCTATCTCACATTGTTCCCTCCTCCTTTCTTTTTTCTTGCCAGTATTTCACATTACTACAGCTACCTACACACGCCACATCCCCCGCAGTCTATCGCCCCACGACCTTGCTCTATTTATCGCCCCGAACAAACAACTACTCATTTCCTGAATCCTAACCCCCCTCCGCTCCCGGCTGCCCTCCCGGACTTCCGCGCCTCCCTCCCCAATTCAGATTCCCTCACAGCGAGTTCACCCAAATATACAAATCCGGATCTATGACCCCCGCCCCGCATCCGACCCCCCCAAACCCACTATCTCTCCCCCTTATCCATCCAGCACCGAGTCCGACACCCCCAACGCAGCCCCTCATTCCCCCTTACCCAAGTCGTCAGCGCATACTGAATGCCCTATTATAATCCTCTGCACCAATTGGCTTTAGTTTGACTCAAGCTCTATTATCATTATTCCCCGGTTTGGAGATTAAAATTGGCTACATCTCGGATTGTGTGCTGCATGGTTGGGGGATACGTCGACACCTGCCACGAAAATAGGCACCTATCCAACGTCTGCCCGGTAGAAGTAGCAGCTTGCGGAGTATTGCTTTAGATGTGGCTAGAAGGGTGAAAGAAGCTTGGGAGAGGGTGAGCGTGTTAATCTGGCTCACCAATTTATTTATTAGCTAGTTTGGTCACATCCTGGTGCATACGGGAATTAGGCCTCGGAGCCCGCCTTTTCCCCTTTCCTATATTTCTTTCTCCGTCTCTTTCTCTCCTTTTTTTTTCGAAGTTGAATAAAGCCCACGGCTGCGGGTTGGTGGAGGTGGCTGATGTGTAGGAAAGGGAGTCTTCTTCGCTCTCAGGGGATTGATTTCTTATGGTGCTGCTTTTCTGCTCTTGGTTTACTTTTTTTCTGGATCTATCACCCAATAGATATCATGGCGATACATGAGTGGGTGAAACCAGCCTCGAGAGGGCGATTGCGCATGGGATCACCCATCGCGGTACCAAGCTCCATCCAGGTCAAATTTGATAACAGGCATGAATTAACACCAGGCGAGCCTCGCATTCCATTAACCAGGGTTGAAAATAAGTAAAGTTGCCCCCACCTGGCCGAACTCGACCCAACGAACCAGAACCCGAGCCAACTCAGGTAAGCCTTTGAGTCCGTATGCAAAGCGAACTGGGGGAGTTGTTGAGGGGTTAAAGAAAGTTGGATTGATATAGCCCGTTATTTTGTTCCCTAGATACTACGTGGGCAAGGAGGATCAACAATTACTTCGTAACTTCGGAATTGGTGTGGAAAGTGGAACTTTTTTCTTATCCTGTATAAATTCCATCGGCAGCACTCCCCCATGACCTCGTTCTTCAGCTGGGGGCATGAATTCAATAGGGTTTCGGATTGGCTATCGGGCCCGCTTCATTCGTCCCGGTTCCGGGAGTTGCTCCTCATTAACAGAACAAGCACATGTTGAGCGAGTTGCCAGAATTTCTAATGCAGAGGACTTAGGATTCTCTTATATGCACCATATATATTGCCAGTACCTATGATACCATCATACCAAGCATAGGCCTAAATCTTAGTAACTAGAAGCTCATGGCACGATATCAACCACAACCAGGATTCCATCAGAACACCTCAGCCATCTCGTGTTGGATGTGGATGTGTACGTAGGATAAAAGACCTGACCACCCCCAGCGACGCCGGAGATAGAGGCTATATATACACATGTCGAGCCTCCTTCCTTGGTACACTCCAACCCTACAACATAGCCTTATAACCATGGGGATAGCCACCGGTACTCACTGCTAACATCCCATACCCATGATAGCGCGAGCAGATCTCTCCACCCTAGGTTTCCAATTGCGCCCGGGTTCACGATAATAAAAGTTTTGGGTTCAATTTGCGTGCCCTGCCGGACCGAGGTCTAGAAGACCCCAATGGCCAGATCCGTAAAGCTTCAAGTCCGGAAATGAGTTTGAAGCTGGTAGGATTGATGCCAGACTCGATAGAGCACTTTATGGAGGGGGGGAAAGCTGATATAAGTAGTTGCTCGATTCGATTGCTCAAGAACTTATTTCGTACCACTCCCTTATTATATCGTCGCTGACCGGGATGGAATCAGCCGTGGTTGAGGCGCGAAAGAAAAGGAGGCTTCCAGAGTACCGGTGAAAGGGGGTTTTTTTTGGCGCGCGCATTATGGGCTATTGAGCATGGTAAATATCGGGAGTAAGCGATAGCAGTAATGGGTGATAGCTCATACCTGGTGACCTCCCTCATGAGCAATCAATGAGTGACTCCTCGTCATACAGATCTGTGCTACCATACTGCACTTTATTCATTGTTCCTATGGAACGGGTGGTTCCCACCGCAGCATGAATACCAACTAAAAATCCTAGCAGTGTATGAATCTTGAACACACTGACGAACACCGCAGCCGAGTGCAAACTGGAGGAATGTGGTTTCAGGTTGCGGTATTTAGGTCTTCCTCGGGACCGGGGCTTTGTCACGTTGACCCCACTCCTTCTTCGGCTAAGCTGGACAATCGGTCTTGCTTGAGTTGCGCCGGGTCTGGGCCCGAGCCGGTGGTGCGCCCCTGCGCAATTATGGCTGTCGCGATGAGAGGGATCACCCATGCTCAAGAGTATCGGAAGATATATTCTCTAGTGGATTAAGGCTGACGGAAATAGTGCAAACCAGGGCGGTTTCGCAGAAGGGCATTATAAGCTTCCTGGCCAAAGCCGGTCTTGAAATATCACTCGCTGGGAATCTTTCAAATGGTTATCCCGTAGCTGTAAAAAAAAAAAAACTCACTCCGAGTCCATATAATCAACAGCTCTCCTATTAGTTCATTCTTGGATCTTTCCAAATCCAACCATCTAGCTGCATACATGGGGTTTCCCCCGACACCCTCAATCTTCACTCTAGTCCTCCATCTGTCCTGTGAACTTCCTATGCCATTCTTAATATACAGGCTTATGAGTCTGACAGACAGAGGTTTAACAAACTCTATTCACCCCCAGAGTACCAATCTCGCATCTAGGCGGGTGAATCCTCCCAGTACCGGTACCCACAAAACGAAAATCAAACCCTGTCTAGAGCAGGTAATAGAAACCCGCTTTACCTTTATTTCCTTTGTACGGATGAAAAGCCAAAGTATGAAAGATCATACCACCACCGCGGAGGTGTCGGACGAGCTAGATGCCACAGGACGGGGGGAAACTCTTGAGAAGATTTCTTTAACCCTTTTACAAGCCCAAAATTTTGCGTTACCTGAACCGCGTTGGGGGGTGTGGATCAAAACCCGGGTGTCGTTAGACACTGCTATAGTGTAGGTTCTCCATTATTCGCTACCCCCGGAACCCAAATTTTGCCCTTCTTTACAGACACACCATAGCAATGTTAACCGGGGTGGATCGCTTTACGACACACGTTTGATAGTATATGCGATTGATAATTATGGTTATCACATTGAAGCCATAAGAGAAACAATTCCAAAAGCACTAGAATCAGTATCGCAAGAGACAATCTAGAAACATTATTGAAAAAGCAGGCCAATCATTGAACCTTATCAGAATGGATCAGCCCATGACACCGAAGACCTTCAAAATACCATAATATATCAGTCAGTCACATCGGGGAGCGCCTGTGAATAAGCTGAGTTCTTAACTGTACTAACTCTGATGGTAACTGATAACCTCTCTTCATACTTACTTTGAATGCTAATCTGGCAACTATAGATAGAGAATTTAATCATGTCTTTATTCCAAGTTAGACCCCATCCATCCTTCCGGGTAAACAATATAGAGAGAAAAGCCAATTACTCTATTACTAAGCACCACTCCGAATGGCTGTTTGTACTCGAGCAGAGGTTTATGAAAACTGGAACAATACATAAGAGATGATAGCGGTAGCACGACCTCCAATGTGTGTTTCCTATACCGCAGATCATAGACAGGCACCCGTATGATCTGCCGCCGCGTACACCTTGGTATACAAGGGCGACACTGACCTCCACCGAGTGACTGGCCGGATTTTCCAGTGTTTAACTTGGTTTGAATCTCTGTTCATAGTTCCAGCCTGGTGCCTGATCGGCAGCAGAGGGGAAACTCCGTTATGGTTATTCCTATCACACATTGACCCTTCTTTGGGGCCTATCCATGTATCTTGTTCTGGTTCCGCTCGTTTTATTTTTTTAGGACGGGGGGCGAACGAACCGGCCATTCGGAATATACCGAATGGTATTGACTTCATTGGACCTACTCTAGGAATAGTGGTTCGGGGAGCGTAGCTCAATTTACTTGCCTCCTAATCCTACCCGTGCCCGGCACCCAAGCTATGGTCCGTGATTACGTCATCAAAAGTCTTAATTTGCAGTATGATACCATATTCCCCCTGTAGTAACTTAGCAACTACCCCATCTCCAATATATTCTAGGCTTGCGGTTGAAGTGCCTCTTGCACCTCGAAAGAATATCCTCAAACGCTCCAGCGCTTTAAATAGCGGCTCGGAATCTCCAGCCCCACAAAGCCGAAATGAGACCAAACTTTATCTACCGAGTTTTCCGATTCCTAGAAGATTCCTACGCACCGGGGCATGAATAGCGACTCAACGCCGATTGAGAGTTTATGCGCACGGATTAGCACTGAAACGGCCGCCGGGATATCCGTGAATATAGCTATGGTTCCGGGGGCTATTCCGATGGATATGGGAACCTTCTCGGTACTATTATTGTGTGTGGGGGGGGGGGGTGTTTGTCTCCTTGTGGAAGGTCCGGGTTCAAGCCGTTGAGGGATTTTACCATTCGGCATTTGTTTTCCTGGGGCGGTGCCCGGTGTCGGAGTGGAGATGGCTCAGCGCTCATCGGACCAGCTGGTATTGGGCATATGCTAGCCGAGGGGAAGGGAGGGTTAGTTCGAA